AAGAATGCTTTCAGCACCTTGTTGAATCAATGCCACGTAGAATTAAGGCAGTTCTGAAGGCGAAAGGGGGTCAAACACCATATTAGTATGGTGTTCCTAATAATCCTTTAGGTGAGTGTATATTCTGATATAGTTGTGCATGTTTAATTTCACAAAAACAGAATCCTTTGCATTTGTTCTTTTTGCACATGCCGAGAGTGTATGTGTTTTCTGTGTGAGATTCATTAGTATTGTCCTAAGACGGCACCCATAGGCAATGATACCAGACTCTCTCCTGCAGTGTGAGATGCAAATTTGTATTTTTTTCAGGGTGGTTCTGGAACACTCCTAATATTCATGAGAGAATATTCCTGATTGGCCACTGAATGCCTTAGACCAGGGCTGCCCCAATCGAGTCCTGGAGGGCCAGAGCCCTGCACATTTTTGGGTTTCCCCTCATTTAACACACCTGATTCAACTGGCTGTGCTAATTACCACACAGCACTTGAGCTGAATCATTTATGGTGGAACAGGGAAAGAACTAAGCTACACTGGGCTCTGACCCCCCAGGACTGAATTTGGGCAGCCCTGCCTTAGGCAGAACAGACAGGCAGCGCATGTCGATGTTCACTGGCCAATCAGGCAGTGTTCCTCTAATAAATATTAATGAGCTGGCCAATCACGTGGGGCTTCGTTCATGAATATTAATCAGATTTCCCGAACCACCCTGCTAAAAGAAATTTGCGCCCGCCCCCGTGCCTGCGTGAGATGCAGCGGCGCCGCATTTAGAGTGTCACGCGCGCGGTAAGCGGTTCTCTCCTGGATCAGTAGATACAGTCTGACACGCTTCACGGAAATAAGCCGATGCATGTGAAATGCATTCAGAGCGGCTTTGCTGTAACTAAAGACCATGTCAGACAATCGCTGCAAATACTGGATCCTCATGGAGCGCAACTCCGGCGCCGGAATCGTCTTCAGAGGCGTTTGTATCAGAATCCAGGTCCAAACTTTTATTAAATATCACTTTAAATATGTAATAATATTATTTAAATATTCTGTTATTAATGGCCATTTTCAAAGGTAAACTCCCTGTAGAAAGACGGAGAACAGCAAGGCGCCGCACGCGCCGGATTTAGCGGTTAGAAGGAAAGACACTGACTTTTAGTATTAATATCCGGTGCCGTTTTCTGGTAAATATGCTTGTGGTGAATGTGTCTGATGAATGTCGCTGCTTGTAATTTTATTTACCCGTAATTAAGCTGTTAGTTTAGCTCGCGCAGCATTTTACCGGCTCTTCCCGCCGGCGTCGCGCGCCGTCCGACATTTCCTGAGCTATTTCATAAACTTCAGTTCCCGCTTCGTTAGGGGAAGCTGTGCTGTTTTTATATTGTACAGAAACATAAAGTACAGTACAGGCTGCTTGATGATATT